AAAACTCCGGAACCAATCCCCAAAACGCGATTGTACAAATTAGGATTTAGGGTTTAGGGTTTAAGGTTAGGGTTTAGGGTTTAGGGTTTAGGGTTTAGGGTTTAGGGTTGGGGGTTTAAGGTTTAGGGTTTGGGGTGTCCTGAGAGTCCTAGGCTTTTGAGTACAAGAGTTAGGGCCCATAGGCTTTAGGGTTGGGATAAGGTTTAGGATTTCGGGCTGAGGGCAGTTTGTCTGAGACAGAAAAATGTGCAACCTGCTTCAAGGCTTGTCCTAATTCGAGTGCGCCCGCAAAGGCATGCTGTATGAATATGCTTAGACTTAGAGGCATGTGGCCTCGCGCCCTCTAGGACGCACAAGAGCCCTAAACCCTAATCCTTGAACTCTAAGCCCTACGCCCTAAACCCTAAACTCCAAACCACGGTAAGCTTGCCCCCTGAGGCTCTCCATGTGGATGTCGCAGCAGAAACAGGCCCTCAACCCCAAAAAAATGCAGTAAGCTCAACCTGAAAGCCTGAGGTCTGAATCCGAAACTCCGGATAGCCGTCAATCCGCCCCCAAACCTTGCAACTCTGATCCTCGAACGTCCCCTGACCTACGCTTGAATATATGTGCTACTATAATCTTTTGTTGTATTCTGTTATAACTCTAGTATAGTCCTTTTTTGTAGTGAACTTCCCATGCGTTCCAAGGTCTGCGAGCGACGCCTACATCGCGAAGGCCAGGCGTTGCCTGGCACAGCTGGAAACTGGCGAGGAGCCACGAGGCCACTTGGCTATAAATAACGATATTGGTCTGATAGTTATTCCCATCTCTATTATCATATGGCTATTGATATTATTATTACTAGTATTATATTACTATTATTGTTGTTATTATTATTGTTGTTGTTGTTATTATTATTATTATTTAGTATTATTAGTATTATTATTATTATGTATATTATTAGTAATATTAGTGTTAGTACTATAGGCTTTTTTTAGCATTATTAGCATTATTAGTATTATAGGTATTATTGGTATTATGAATATTATTAGTATTGAAGCTCCACACCTTGGTATCAGTTTCCACATGTTCACGACTGCTATCAGGGATTATGACATTTACTGGTACCGGAAAAGTTCATGCTGTCGCCTTCATCATGTCCTGCGGAACAGGAGCCTAAACCCTAAACCTTCAACTCTAAATCGCAAGCCCTAAAGCCTGAAGTCCACATCCAAAACCAACTCGCGGCGTTGAGGGTTGGGTGAGTTGACCTTTAGGGGTGCTGCTCCTGTCCGACACCCTACACATCGTTTCTGGGCTGTAGGAATCTTTTGCTGAATTTGAAACTTCTGGAATGCATACTTTGAGCCCGAAACCCCAAAACCTAAAATGGCCTTCAGGGCGTCTCTCCGTTGGGGAGGACAGGGCCGAGCTGCAAAAACTGCAGGCGCGGGGTTTCCGAGGGAAGCAGAGGATCACATGAAGTGCGGGGAAACGGCCTGGGGTTTGCTGGGGTTTGGGGTTTGGGGTTTCGGGGTTCGGGTTTAGGTGTTGAGGGTTTCGAGGTGTTGTCGGTGTGCTGAATTTCTGATTTTAGGTTTTAAGCGTGCCGAACTGGATTTGCAGTCTATAAGTCGTGGACTTTTGTGCTTGAAGCGCTGGGGTCGGCTTATTTTTGCTTCGACGGTTGGGTTGCAGGCAGCTTGCGGCCTTTGGCTTAGCCCATGGGTTTATGAGACCCACGCCGACAGCCAACATTCCCAAATTAATCCGCCTACGCAAAAAAAGAACCAACACATTTAACACCCAAACCAAACCCTAAACCCTAAACCGTAAACACTAAACCCCTAAACCGTTATAAACCCTGAAACCTAAAACCCCAAACTTTTATAAGCCCTAAACCCTAAACCCTAAACCCCAAACCAAACTAAAGGCAAAAGGAAGCCAAGAGCTCCCAGATCCCCTCGCCCCGGTCGAAGCGGCCCTCCACATCGCCGTCGCCTGTGGCGAAGCGCGCCCGCCTGGAGAACTCCTCCAGGCTGGGGATTATCAATGTGTGTAATTTAGGGTTTAGGGTTTAGGGTTTAGGGTTTAGGGCTATGCTACTCCTCAGGGTGCCTGAATTTCTGTTGAAAGGGTTTGAGATTTAAAAGTTAGGCGGGGTTCAGGGCTTGGTTCGACTGGAGTTTACCAGCTGCATGTCCATTTTGGCACGCTTGCTCAGTTGTGGTGTGTTGTGTTCTGTGATTGAGTAGTATGTTATGCTATCCTGCATTGTGGCCTCTTCATCCGTACAAATGTACGTGTATGCACATATCGTAGTAATGGTAATCACACAGTCGTACGTTAAGTTATAATTACACTGCATGCAGAGTAGGATAAGTGAAGAGTCTGGCAAACTTCCGGAACGAAGACGTAAAATTGACCTACCAACTTGTAGGGGATTGGGGAATCCAGCGCTTTCCACCCCTCCTCAATAAGAAGTTCCCGGCCGAATAAACAAAATCTTGGCACTTGATGCTAAACCCAAGACGAAGTCACGCGTTTGCGTCCGAGCCGAATGTCGTGCCCTCTTGGCTCGAGTCAAGAAAAACGCCCAGAGCCTGTTACAAGTGGAAGGTTCAAGGGTTGCTGGTCCTTTGCGTCGCGAGTCGCGGTACTTGGGCGACTGCCGGCAGGTAAACAGCAAGAGTCCTGATGAACGGAAAGAGTCTCGGTTCCCTGACAGGAGCCGCTCTGCGTCGCCTGCACCTGATGGGCAGCTAGCTGGCTTTCATAGGGGCGTTGGGGAAGTTCTGCATGTGTTCAGCTGGACCGGAGTTCCAAGAAGCAGTGTTCGGATTTCCTTACGATACGCTTCTGCATTTAAGGTGCAACTTCTAGCGCAAAAGCCGTTTCGAGTTGTTCAGGCCCTACAAATCGTAGTATGTGTCCTTCAGGCATGGCATGACAGTTCATTGGTGTTGGATAAGAAGCCCCTAAACCCTAAACCCTAAACCCTAAAAACCCTAAACCCTAAATCCTAAACCCGAGACCCTAAAAACCCTAAACTCTAAACCCTAAACCCTAAATCCTAAACCCTAAACCCTAAACCCTAGTAAGGGGGAGTCTCGGTCGCATAAGTTTCGAGTTGCAGCCGCTGTCAAGGAAGGCTGCCGTGTGCGGATAGCCGTCGCTATCATTGCAACAACAAGAGCCCATAGTCAACATCGTTGCAATATTTCTAACACACACACACACACATATATATATATATATATGAATATATATATATATATATATATATTATAAATAAATAAAGATATATATATATATAAGGAATCGCAGAAGAATCCTCCAATCTAGATGGTGTCTTTGCTCGAAGATCTTGTGTAAGCCGACGCGCACCTTTGCGCGGCTTCCGCGCAACACCGCGAATCCCATCAGCCTGTCAGTCCGTATGTTTGTCAGTAAGTTTCGAGTCATCATCAACTTCATAACGCTCCTCAGCCTTGTCGGCACCAGCAGCGGGCTCATCGCTCCCAATGTGTTCCTCCAAAAGGTGCCGGATATTGGCGGTCTATTTAAAAACCCGTTGCTTGTGGGAGGCCCATCTAGTTTTCGTCGCCCTTGTACTAGAGCAGAGCAGGAACCCTTCCGTCCAGGGCCTACGCTTCGATGGCCGTAGTCAACAGACTCGTACTTCTTTTCAGCACTAGGACTTACTGGCTATGCGCGAAAGACATGCTTCAGGTTGCAGCAGTCTACCCAGCTCTGTGGCCTCAAGGCTCGCAGAAGCTTTTCACTTTTAGGGTTTTCCATGGTGGCATAGCCGGGCTTTGAGGGGGGATGTTTGGTCAGAACTATTCGGGGCAAACGGTGTAATATAGGGGCGTTAATAATACTACTTATATTATTTTGGGGGTTCCTTATTATGATTATACTATAGTGGGCCCCAAAAGCCTATTCTAATTACTAAGGCCCCTATATTATCAGTTTTGATAAAGTGCGTAACCTGGCTGCTGCTTTTTTGGTAGGTGGTTCATACGTTGGCAAGTCGCGAGCGCTTATCCGGTCGTTTTAGACGCGTGAGTGAATCTGCCGTAGTGTATCCAAAGACCAGGACCGGTGTTCGTAGTTGCAGTGGTAGTCGTCGTCATGTCGTCGTCCTCCTGGCCCTCGTCGTGGCAGCCGCAATAGCAAGTAGAGCAAGTGCCGTGGCGTTAGTCATGGTTCATGTAGGTTACGGTACTGCCAATAATCATATGAGTGCCCATCAGGAAACCTTCCTAGACTCCTACAGCCCTCAACCAAATTCCCAGTCGCTAAACTCCGACTTGGACCTTCGTCTCAAACCTTATGCCCTACACTCGAAGCTCAAGCGCTGAACATGTAGGCTGTGCGGCGAGCACTGGAGGCTGGATCTTTGCCTTTCTCGCAACACCAGGGTTCATTTGGCTTTTGGATGTGCTGATTCCGGGCTGATCCGGATTGCATGTTTCTTTTTCAACTAAGGTTTTATCGGGTCATGCATAGTTGCAAGTAGGTTGTAAGCTGCTTTTTCGGACTTCTGGGCACTTAGAGTGGCCAGAAGTCCTAGCCACTCACCAGAGCAGGTACTGAACTGCTACGCCCACTTATCAGCACCTGTAAAACCCTAAACCGGCGCCGTGTCGACCCATGGCTGCTGATTAGCCTACTTCGATTCAAGCATTCGGGGGGTAAGGCTCCGAAACAGCCCCAAACTACCCTACGACCCCCGATTCGGTGTGAGGTATGTTAAAAGTGCCTGGCCCCCTACAAGGTCGAGGCTGAAAGCAGTACTGGATTTTTGTAGGGTTTTTCGAAAACGCAAAACAACGGAAAGAGGTGTACATGCCATAAGTGTTTTGCTCTACAAACCCATGCAATCAAAGGACTCGGAGACACACATCACAACTAGGGATCGGCCCAAGGCCTCTGCATCGACGGCAACGGGTCAGGGATGTGGTGTGGGACGTTGTGGTGGTGTTGTCGGTTGTGGTCATGTAGTGACGGTGTGGGGCCGGCGTGGCTTGGAAAGGTGTGGAGGAATGCCATTTGGGACGGTTGGAGATTGCTGGGTAGGTGGTATATAGGGGTGTGTGAGGGGCGATGTGGAGCGGTGGGAGTGCAGTGGGGGTGTAGTGTGGGGGTGGAGATGT